TTTAAAAAAACAGATTCTTTCGAGATCCTCTCCAATGATGTTCTAATCATCTGCACCTCTTATAGTGCCCCTAATTCTAATTTTAGATATTTCAGGTAATGATAAATGTAAGGGTATAGTTACTTTTTCCACATGTAAAATTTGCACTCATGCTTATTTAAAATGATACTTATTATACTATATACTCTTTATCAATATTGTTAAAATGAATGTATGTTGAAATAAGTTGGAAAAGTAAAAAAAAAAGTAAAGTACTTTTACTTTGGAAAAGTAAAAAAAAAAAAAACCTTTTACGGCTTATTCAATTTTCATGGATAATCACCTTTCTGCTAATCTATGTGGAGAAAATTATGCCTTCTGCACCATGGCGTGGGGACAGTTTTCACCCTCCCCAGGCTCTGGAGGCTTACATCGATCATCTGGGAGGGCAAAAACTGCCCCCCTCGGGCTCTGGAGGTCTGCCAGAGGCCGGAAACGGCCCCATTTCTGGAAGTCCAATTTTCCCACTCCCTGATCATGGGCCCTGCACTTACCTCACATCCAAAACAGGCCGTGTGGGTGGGTGGGTCATCCAGGAGTGGGATTTGGAGGTTCTCTGAACCAGCCATAACGTTAGCTACAGGTTCTCCCGAAACCAGGCAAACCTGTAGCAGCGCACCCCTGGTTAAATCTAGATTTGAGTAAAATGTGTAAATTATCTTTAATGTTTTATTCTAAATGATCTTTCTCTGATATAGAATTAAGTTGCAGTATGTACTCTATCACCTCTAATGTCATGATTTTCCCAAGGGGGGTATTTTAAATATGTCTGCTGCATTCCTTATTGTGGAACTAAGACATATTCTAAAGGACTAGAATATTAAATCAAGGTTATCTGAGGCCTAGAAATGTTCAGCAATGGCATGTTTCAGAACTTTTAATATACAACTAGAATTCTCTGATTTCAGAAAAGCTATGGATATAGCAAACAGAAAACTATACCATATAGAATTAGAAAACTTCAGAATCATTTGAGGCACATGACTAAGCACATCTTTATTCTACTTTATGGAATAAAAATACCACTTTTCCCTGTTTATGATGAATTTTTTAAAAAATTAGAACATTTGCCCACTATCTCATATATGTTTGTGTGTGTGTGTGTGTGTGAGTGTGCGTGTGTGTTTTAGTAATATTCCTTTGATGTTGTATTCTTTTCGCCTTAACTCCACTGAGACAATCTGACTCTCAGGATATGGGCACATGATATCGTCTGATATATTATAGTCAGACACATGCAATCACCTCACTTAGTTAATGTTACAATGGATTAAAATGTCAATATGAATTATATCTGAGAAAATAAATGTTGAAGAAACAGGATTTTTGAGGGTAGGTGTAGGCGGGTTGCCTTCAATGCCAGTATTGACTCTTGCTAGGTTTTTTTTGGGGAGGGGGTATTTCTAGATGTGATTTGCCATTGCTTTCTACTTAAGACTAAGACAGAGTCACTGGTCCAAAGTTACAGTACTAGACTAGACTAGAACACATAATTTCCCAGTTTCCACCCTGATACCTTAATCTCTACATCAAACCAGCTTTCAGTGAAGCAGGACCATTGCAATATAAATTATTCACAATTTCTATCCTGATCGGTGGAGAGAAACTGTTGTGACAAAGGCATGATTGTAAACACTACAAATTTTGAAGTCTAACTTAATGTCCTGAGAGTGAAAGAAGTATGAGATGTAATTAATTATTACTAAGGGTTTTAATAAAGCAAACTCAAAAACTCTTTTTATGTAATTTTAAATTACTGATTGACTGACCGTAATTTAAAATTTCTAGGTGATTATATCCTTTGTTATTAACCTTCCAGAGACAGCTGTATGGAACACCTGATAACAAAGATATAATATAATGTACAAAGATTTATTCATTTAAGTTATTCTAAACATTACATTATAATTATTTATAATTATGTTTATAAATTATAAATATAGTAATTTATAAGAGGTATATACCCAGAAGCAGGCGTCACATATTGTAACAACTGTTTCGCACAGAAACGTAAACGTGAGAGCGTGCGTACTCACGCTTTGCTTGCGTGCCTTCCGAACATGCACATGGCATCAAAAAACTGGCAATTATATAGGATGTGATAGTGCCGGGGGGGGGAACTACTGGTTCGCTGAACTGGTCCAAACCAGCAGCAGCCCACCACTATATATACCTCTTAAAAGTATTTCTGAAAAGCTGTAATCTGGACACAGTTTTTATGTTTATACTCTGCACATACTCTGCTAGAGAGAAGTTCCCTGAAGATGGTTTCCAGCACGAATCAAAAACTCAGAAGTCAAAATCTCTGGTTGTGGTGAACAGCTGTGATTGTATTCTGAACATTATCCTGGGATACGTATATTCTTAAATGTTTTTTGAATTTTTCTGGTTATTGACTGAATACATTTTACCTTTATTTATTAGACATACACAGTTTCTTTGGCTTAATGTCATGACTCATAATGTAATAAGGTAGATATTTAATTGTATTTTTACCACAATAGGAAAATTAATATAAATAATAATTTAAAAGTGCTGTAGCATTACAAAATCAGTTGTTTAGATTGGCAGGGAGTTCTTACTTACCAAGGGTAATTGGGATCAAGAACTCCATCACTAAATAGCACTGTTTTAAAAGATAACATCATGGGACTGCATTTACGTAAGATTGCAGTTCTGGCAGGTCTAATTGCTGTTACGTGAATCCCATGTGGTTGTGGTGTCCTACAGTCATTTGATATCCATTTGCGACCTCCTGCTGGCTTCCGCATTAATGTTTGCTTGTTGGACATCAGCAGTGAAGGTGGAAATGGAGGATGCTTTAATACAGTGTTTTTCAACCTTTTTTGTGCAAAGGCACACTTTTTTCATGAAAAAA